GGATCACCACCGGGAGCATTTTCGCTCCCGTCTCCATGGCTCTCCATTTTCCGAATGGACTCCCTCGAGGGATGGATCACTAGTGTGTTGTATATGTCCGCGACTTGGAAGGGAGAGACTGAATATCGCTTGTATTAGAAACGCAGAAGCAAGAGAAGAAGAGAAGAGAAGAAGAGTGCTTCCGGAAAACAGAGAAGCAGGGGTCACAAACACAAGAACCCCAAAATGGTATGTCTACGTTCCTATCTGCGAATATATCCGTTACTGCGGTCGATCAATACCTGTCCGTATCCAAACACACGAACAGGGATCGGTACATATTTATACGAGGTACAAGGTTCCCCTGCGGGAGGTACTTGTAGGTGATTTTCTTCCCGGGGGCGACGCAAGACATGGCCGCCAATCAATGCCATCGCGGTCGCATGGTTGGTCGTCATACCGTTCGGTAGTGCCGGCTTGCGTGCAACCTGCATACAAATAGTTTGCCTGGAATCTACATATGTACCAATTTACCGCTGCCAGAGTTGTGCGAGAGGGCTTCTGTGTCGTGTGGTGTGTTCCCGTGAGCATTCAGAGTCTTGGTCCCCGCTGTGGGTACACATGCGTCAGTTGCCGTGGGGTGGTTATGTGCACAAAATTCACAGCAGCAGGTGTGTGGGGGAGCGTGGCGCGTGGCCCGTGGCTCGGGGTGGAAAATGTTCTGTTTTCAGTTTTCGTGCCGTTCGAGGAGGCTTCTTATGGTTCGGATTCCCAACCCCTGAAAAAAGAGCCAGTCCCAGCGACTTTAGGCGGCCCTAACACGCACCACCGGTGTCTCGCGAGCCCCACACGTGACGGGTAATATTCCGACGGATCCTCTGCGTGCCATGCAGAAGAAAGTGCGAGAAAAAACGCTGTCCCAGCGGAGAAAAACGACTGCATCGAAATCCTACATGTGCATATACGACGATTAGATGAGGAGCCTTGCTGGCATGATTTTCAATCACTCGCATTTGTTCTAAATTGTGCAACGAGGTGAATGCTGTGCTTAGCTGTGTCCTCGCCATGAATAGGAGAGGCGGAAACCTTGAAACACATCAAAAACCATCACGATCACCAGCGAAACTTGACATGTTGTTGTGATCCCACCACCCCTTCGTGTACCTATCGATCCCATCCATCCCATCACTCTTTCTTATACGTCTACGCATCCATCCCATCGCATCGAAATATCCAGCAGTTGCTCCCATCCCATCCCATCAAATCTGATGGTAAGCCCAAAACATTTTCCGCCTGCGGCGGGCTTTTCTTACCATTCCCATCCCACGGGGCGTCGCCACGTAGAGCCCTGCGAAAACCGCTTCATCGTTTGAGTTTTACATGCCCCCAAGAAGCGTATTCAGAGCTACAAACGAGTGCACGACACGAAGAAAGCATCGGCAGCTAGGCACGACCTGTGACAAGATCGTAGAGTCTAACAATCCACATTATGGCTCAACTGCTGCACCGGCATAGCTGGAACGTAAATGGGCTCACCCCCCCGCCCATATCGTAGTATTCTCCGTGGACCTGACCGTGCGAATCTCGTGCTTCCTCTCTCGTCTTTGCTCAGATGACGAGCACGTGGGGTTGGTGGCGCCGGAATCCACTGACAAGTTGGAGAGGGCTGACAAGATTGGCATCACACGGGGACAACACACCAAACGCGATCAGGAAAGAAGCACGCAGGATTCTGCTCGGGAGGCGGAGGGTGCCTCCCACCCTACCGGCGGCGGCGGCGGGGACGGGGGCGGCAGTGGTGGTCGGAACAGCACCCGGCGTAGTAGAGGCAGCCGCAAGCGTAACGGAAATCGTCGTGGCGAAGCCAAAAACGGCGAGTGCGGTGGGAGAGAACATTGTAAAGGGGACGGCCGCGAAGGCGGCAACACTGGGGATAGCAGCCGTGGCGGCAAGAGCCATGTGCGCAGTTTCCGATGTGGCCAGAGGGGGCACTTCACGCCCACGTGCCGTGTTGAAAAAAGCCATCTCCCCTCCAGGTGCGATACCTGCCTCGGGTTTGGCCACGACGCGAGCGTGTGTACCTCCGAAGCAGAACCGTCGGTCGAAGTGCCTCCTCTGAAGGAGAAGGCCGCTTTAAGCGAGGAAGTGGCCGTGGAAAGAGGACAACGACCAGGCAAGCTTGATTTGGGCGGTCCAGTCGAGGTTGAGGATGTGGTCAGGCGGTTCAACCCGGAAGATTTTGTTTCGGTAGTGCCGCTGCCTACCACTGTCTCGCAACGGTGGATGGCATCCGCAACTATCGCACGTGTAACGGAACCCTTCGTGATGCGGCTTGGAACCCAATCCAAATTGTTGGTTGCGGCGACTTGGTTGTATCATTTCCCTCTGGCATGGGGCGGGTAAACCTGACATTGAAAAACGTGAAACACGTACCCCAAGTAAGCCGCAAAATAATCTCTACTGGGTGCTGGGTAGACGAGGGCCACACTTTCCATTTCGACAGGAACGGGACCATGCTCAACTTCGCCGGAGGAGGATCATTGTTTTTCCCATATCAAGAGCCTGAAAATGGGGTAGAGTTTTCTTTAGCCATATTCGACCCTGAGCAATTTTAGTCACCCAACGGGCAGCAATACCCTACGTGTGTGTAAGGGCCACGGAAACTCCGTGTGGATTGAGTATTCTTCTCGGGTGACTTTTTCTTGGTGCCCACAAAGGGTGGTTGTTTTGTCTTTTCATCCGCGACCCGTGATCTCTTGGTCTAATTAGGTCTACGGTACCTTTTCTTGAATTTTCTCGTTTTTATTTACGTGTCAAGTATTTTTTCCATGTTCGGAAGTGGAAAGGTCTTACATGGTAGCATTGGGGGATAAGATTAACATTTTCATTCGCAGACCGGGTTTCCCCCGTACAGTGCTTGTTGCCATTTTCGAGTTATTTGCGGCCCTGGCCATTCACTCTCTACCCTGATGTCACTTGCGTGAGGGAACGCAAGTTTTTCGTGCAAGGCACGTTATGTGAGGCCCATGGGCAATGAACATTTCATCTTCATGAAGTGGATGTTGATTCCTTAGCACCAGGTAGATGAGACACGCCGACGCAAAGCTGTATACAGCACAAGGTCTCCCTTCGGGACGAGGGTGTCAGGCCTCCCTCGGGTGTCGCAAAGTGGAAAATATATCAAACTGTCGCTTATGATGGGTTTCAGAAGTGGTTCGCTAGGCATTGTCCGCGCGGAACTCGCCCCCAGGGTAACGGGTCAGTTTTCGCAACTTTGACCGTCAAACACACGTGCCACGGAGGTCTACGGACCTCCGGGCACGAGCGTTAGTGTACCGACGAGACTCCTGCGTGCCCCTGAGAACGAATCTTTTCGAGAAGGAATCGCGAGAAAAGACTCGTTGCCGCGAGAGAAGAAATGCCGAAGCATGAAAAGTGACCAAATGTTATGTACATTACATGTGTGAATTTATATTGGTTTGTTGGGGTTCGCTAGCCTGCTCGCGTCATACCGCGTCAATTGCTGTGTGAACTCTTGAGCTTGGGATACGCCACACCGCATCTGGCAGCCACTGCGGGGTGGTGCTGCTCCCCGCTTATGTTTTCATCTTCCCTAACCCATAGTGACACTGTGCTCTCATGAGCCCACTCCGGAGGAAATCACTTGTATGCCATGACATTGACTCTCGAGAACTCCCGTAGCCTCGTGCGAGCCTCTCCGTACTTCGTATTTTTTTTCACTCTGAAGCAAAGAACGTGATAAACAGGTCTCCCCGGGCTGATTGACCATCACAACGGTGGTGCACCGCATACGAATGTTGCGCTCGCGCAATATCCAACGCAGTCCGTGGCATCGTTCTCTGGGCGTCGACTAAACGTCTGCGCCGATAAAGACCGATCAATTGCAGCGAAGGATGCGCACCGAAACAAACAAAGGTAACCGCTCGGTGCTAATGCACACACTTGAACACCCGCAGTTACTCGCGTATCAAAGAATAACGTTCACTACGACCAACGCGCCCGCTAAATCTACATCGCTGGCGACCCGGGTATGGGGCAAAGTCCAACCACCTGATGCGCTGCGAAATTCAATAGCCCTCATTGGTTTGTATTTACGGCAACAGAGTAGCCCTGCAAGCAGCCAATCCATCGACTAGACAGCCTGCCTAGAAAAACCCCACTGCGAGGGGCCATCTCGAATTATAGCAGTAATTTAGCACCCCAGAGAGAACGTCACATTTCAACGGAGTACTGAAATTGAGGCCGTCCACAACAAATGGAAAACGGATTGGCGACGTCATTGATAATAACGCCATGGACTCCAACGATGTGTACACTGGCGGTAAAAACTTTCGCAGCACCGCTGAACGCCCGGCAGGGGGTGCGGTATGCGCCGAAGCAGTCAATAGGGTGCAAAATGAAGCGCGAACCTTCTTGAGCTTTTGGGCAGCGAAACGCATACGCCAACCGCTAGACGCCTCTGATGATGCCCGCTCTCATTAGTTTTCCGTCACTCTCACGCGAGAATGCATGTGAATGTGCTGGATACTCCAGTACACCGCGTTGCCCCCACCCTTCACTGACGGTCCAATCGCGATGCTCTATTTCTCGTTGACCTCGCCACCGTGGATCGTGTAAGTGCCATAGTCCTTCTGGGGATCGTACTGATAGCGTCATGCACACAACGGCCGATAGACGGAGGAAGAAGAGAGGCACGCTGGGTGGGTCGTTCTTATGGGAGGAGGCACCGGAGAGGAACAACGAGACTGAGATCGAGAATGGAGAACAACTTGCAGAAAAGTACCGTGAAAGGTCAGGTTGCCGGCCAACGAGTTTCATACCAAAAAACTCGCCCTCGATTCAGAAAAAGGCCGCCGCAGACAGTGTGCCGCGCTCAACCGTCGACCAGCATGCAGCACACAAGCGTCCTTACCGTCTCCCATCGACTCGCAGGGAAGATGTGCTTGTTTCGCTCGTACCACCGTCGCTCCACGATCTGCGATACAAGCGGAACAGTAGTATGGGAATGACTGAGGCCTCGCCTTGGTTACGTGAGTGTTGCGGACTTCGCCTCTCAAGGACCAACATTTGGGTCTGAAATTGAACACCAGTAGGTCACGTCTGGAACTGGAAGGCTTGTACCAACGTGCTCTGCTCCTGGCATACGTCCTCTGGCGCCACGTCCGGCTTGCTTGCAGCGTATTCTCGGTATCTCTCCACCAGTTAATTAGTTCGACCTAGCGGCTGAGCTCTGCAAGTACCCGGGTGTGCTTACGCACCCAGACAGTGTGAATCCTAACCACACGTGCAACCGACATTTCCGCTACATCGCATGATTCATGAATACTTGGGCTCGGCGTACCATGCTGATGTTGAATACTGCAAATGAAGTTGTCGTCCTGCACAGGGTCCTCAACTTGTACAACACCCAATAATCAATTTCTTCATTACCGCCAAACAGCATCCCCGACGTTCCACCGCCTCGAATGACAGCGAAATTTTCTACTACAATAACCACCCAGAAACAACAACCGCGCAATGTAATCCCTCACAATCTCGATTCGCTTATTTGTCATGGATTGCGTCACACGCGACAGGTCCGATTGTGCAATGACTACATGTTGATCTCAAAATACCCGTGTGTAATTGAACTGGCAACAAGAGACGAATCCGACGCCCGTACTGTTGCGGCAATGCCCTTGGAATCTTCAACCAATCCATGTGTCTCCCACCCACCTTGCCGGGGTGGCTCTCGTCTTTCTCGATGCGCGTGTCGTGCACCAACCGGATGTCGTCGTGGACGTCGAAGTGGAAGAGGGGGCCCGATTTGCCCCTGGCCTTGGTGACTATCAAGTCGTAAAACGAGAAGTGCTGCGTACCAGCGCGGCGATGGGTGACAATAAGCGCAACAAGTTTCAGAAGAAGGGACCCCTCCGCTCTGATGCATTCCATCAACATCTCAAGCACTAAATGCTTTGCCATGATTAAGCAGATTCAATTTACCGCTGCACATCCAGCAACGGAGATTTTTTTAAAGAAAATGACGGTCGACCATCCCCAGCGGAATATAGCTTCTTGAATGGGAGCACCTTGGTACGTCCGAGCCAAGGACAGCAATTATGGGAGAAACCAGGATGTTCGAATGCACCCAAGCGGGTTCCATCATGACACTTGCACCCAACAGGGAAATACTGGTGTTGTCACGCAAACGCCGTCGTTTGTGAGAACACGCTCCCTTTTTCGCACCAGGTATTAGCAAACTCGAACCTTGTCGAAGCCAAGACAATCAGATCGCGCAAATGACAGCAATGAGCCCATGGAAGAGCGGACGTAAAACAACAAGTCTGCCCGATTCCCCTCACGTGCGGGATGATGAGGTCCTCCTTGATATACAGTAGATTCTCCGAGCTTACGCTTCTCATCTCGCTGAAGTCCTGGGACAGCTGCTGTCGGACCATCTCAAGAAACTTGCCTGCCAAACGTCATGAAAGACGAGCAGGGATACTGATGGACCTGGGAAGGACTTTTCCGTGCACTACGAATTGATGTGAAGGTGAACACTTGTTCGGCGCTGCTTGACAAAGGCTGCAGATACTCCGTTGTACCCTTTGCTGCCCACTACTACACTGCCGTGGGCTGTCAACAAAGTGGGAAAAAGTGAACCGAACACTTGTCGGCGTTACCGCGAGCACGAAACGCTGCCTTTTCTGCGCGGACATATCAAGCCTTTCAACCCCAATGAATCTTCCCCCCCACTAGCGCGCGGAATGCACAACTATGAGTACACACACCCCCACTAGCGCGCGAACTGAGACGCACCCACGGTGATGCCCTTGTTCAGCACGATCTCCCGTCTGTGGCCGGACCCGTCCCAGTAGCTGTATGTAACCTCCAACCGCTCCACTAGACCCAACACAGAGCCATTTATCGCGGCAACGGAACGGGGAAGATGGGTGGCAGGGGGCACGGGGGGAATAGGGAGGGGCAGGAGGAGAGAGAGCGAGGGACAGAGAGCAAACGGGGGGAGAGGGGCTTCACGAGGGGAAAAGTTTGAAAAAAGCAGGTTTCGACGGTGGCTAAGTCTTGGCTCAGAATGAATAATCATGTCATGCGAGACAAAAGGCGGGCATGAGAGCTAGAAAAAGGGTCAGGTATCATCATTTCCGTCTTCTCGAAGTTCCTTCCCGCTGGTCTCGCGAGCCTACCTCTCCGCGCGTTATACTAGAGTGAAAGCAGCGACTCGAACAGACCTTACGAACTGAAGAAGGTGGCAGCGTGCAAGAAACACTCACTCTTAAGCTTTTCCTGCTCCTCGATCCATTCCTTCTTGAGCTTCTCCCTCTGGTCCCTCATGCCCTTCTCCCTCTCCCGGTCCGGCAGGAAAGACGTGTCCACGTTTGGATTCTTCTTTCCTAGCTTCAACGGTGGCTCTTCTCGGGCATTGCATTGGGTGGGTGGGTGGGGGGGAGGGGTGACAGGAAATTGACCAAAAGATTATATCTCTGGCACACGGGGAGACTAATAGAAAATAGACACAAAGGTGCGGAAGGGAGATCTGGGAAAAGGGCACGAGTAAAGTTCAACACGGTAGGTGTGTTTTGAAAGCTACAAGTCGTAGTGGATGGATGATACTCGGGCCACGAATCAGGCAGCGTCCTGGGGTTGTACCATGTCAGAGGCGGGTGATTGCAATATGTGCAGCTCAACCAGCAGGAAGAGCACCAAACAACATATTCGCACGTGTGTTAAGCCCCCCCCCTGCGCACATGATCGTCTTTGCCTCCCTCAAGACGCCCTTGCACAGGCCCTACAACGTTTCCGTCGGCGAAAGAACCACCAACAAACCGTTCGGAGGGACTAAATACTACAACACACAACACACCTATCCACATGCACCCAGCACACTATCCGCATATCCTACCCGCACCGCCGCCGCCCTCCCCCTGGTCGTCCTCCTCGATCTCCTCCCCGAAGGAAAGCGTGGAAATAAGCTTCTTCTTCTTTCTCTTCTTTTTTTTTCTCGCGGCGGCGTCCTCTGCCCCGCCCGCGCTATCGCCGCCCTCCCGTCCAGCGGCTCCGGAGCCACCGCCTTCCTTGTCCCCGACGCCGGTCTCGGCCAAGACGCGCGCTTTCTTGAACTCATCGGCTGTTACTAACCCCACCGTGGTCGCCTGAGCGAACAGCATCGATCGTTTAGCTCATTATTATCTCTCGAAAAGTCCCCCTAACTTTGCCAAAAATGCCGCGTTTAACACATGTCTGTGGTGTCCCACACAGGCAGCGAAGTCACAGAAACTGACCACACTAAACAGCGGAGCCGGCACCAACACCCCCAGCGACACCATTCTTGACTCAAAATGCTCACCTTAAACATTGCCTCGTACTGGTCCGTCGCGCTGCCCCCGAACTTGTCGTCGATCTTGAGGGCACCCCGGTGATACTCATCCTGTCGACCATTCCAATGTCAAGACACACATGGGCGGTGCTGCCAAGAAGAGTCCTCGCACGATCCATTGACCCTACCAGACGGAATCCTCCAGCACACCCATCGCAAAACTCAAATCGCGGGTTTCCAAGTAGCGTTCGCCGGACAATGCATGCTTGCATCGCTGCCGCAAGCTCATACCTAGTTGTACACATGCTGGTTTCATCGTCAAGCTTTTCATCCCTAGACGAAATGCTGCATCAAGCCGATCGTATAACTTCGAATCGCGCGTTTAAAAAATAGCTTTCAGGAGTACGCGTGGTCGCATCGACGCCTCAAGCTCACACACTCGCTGAACGCACTACCCGTTCTGATATTTAAGCTTCCAGGCTTGTTGGCTTCAAAAACTGCCCTTGCATGCATTCGTACCTGGATCTTTTGTCGTTTGCTCTCGTAGTCCTTCTGGTCTTCCAGCCGCTGCTTCGCAAGTCGTGCCGCCCGGGGGCCCGATATTTGGCCCTCGGCAGTATTGATGCCAGTGTCACCGCGCTTAAAGTCGGTCGCCATCACGGCGGCCGGATCTTCAAACTGTCGCGCATGACGCATGCAGTCGATAATGCAAGAGAAGGCCGGGAGGGAGCGGGCGCGTGCCACCCTAGACTCATCGGCAGAAAAGGGGGGTGCAATCTTCATGACATCGTTCTTCTAGTGCGAGTGAAGCGAGCTTTGTATACCCTTGTAGCACTAGCAAAAAGCAAGACGGCCAAGGCAGATTGTAGCAGCAGGGCTGCTGACAGAGAGATCGCTTGTGGGAGTTGATGGAAGTGCACGTGCAGTCCACACTGAATAGGTAGCATAGGACTCAAAATTGAGCGAGTAGGGGTGCGGCGGTGGCAGAATCTAACCGGGCAGACTCTAGAACTCGTGGTAAAACGCGTATTTGTGCGTCAGAGCGAGGGAGCGCGGTGAGCAAAGGAGGCGTGTAGCGGCTGCGGAGCAGCACGCTTGGCGACCCCAGCTATTTTCTCGGTTGATGGGCACCTGCTTGCCAACGGCGCCGGGCGCGACGCTCGGCACCTACACGTGCGAAAGTCGTGGCATGTCGGCTGCGGGGGATACACCATTCTTCCTGTACGCATACATTGATATGTAGTTTTTTATCACTACCAGGTGGTCTCTCAAAACATTCTGCGAAACATACAAAGACAACAGACGACCACGGGATACGTGCGGTTGAAGCCCATGTTGGGATACCTGGCTAAGGCTGGGCTTGCATTGTAACGTTTCTACTTCCCTTCGCTCTTTGCATCAATGGATCCTTAGGCTCGGGCGAGGGCTAGCGCTGGTATATCCTTCTCGTGTTTCTACTGCCAAAGGGTTCGTCGAGGGTTTCGTTTACTTTTATAACAAGACATGTGCGACTCCCACTTTTTTGGCCGCTACTTGGCGGACCTTCGTTGCTTCCGCTAACTCTAGTATCCTTTCATCGTTCAGTTGGTTGATGCGGTCAACACTACAGCAGCACATGAGACGGATAGAGGAAGCCAGAGGATAAGGAGTTGTGCGCGCGCCTCGTGTTAACGAACACTGAACTCTGCTGAGTCCGGCCTTGCCCTGTCCTGCCTGTCCTGGTTGAATCTTGCCCACTACCGTAGGATGCACCAGGGTGATGGTGTCTTCTTCCGACAACCGGCACGTGTGCTGTAGTATCGTTCCTATCGAGATTGTGGTGAAATCGGGCGTCGTCTGCAGCCATCATTCCAAGAGCCGCGTGTCATACCGAAGTTTTCTAGACTGACTTAACAGACTGGTGTTTTGTTTTGTTTTGCTCCCATCATTGGACTCTGTCGTCTGCCCCTCTGGCCCCTATCCTCCACTTCTACCAGCTAGACGACCCAACCGGGGTCACATAAGAGGGGGGGGTTGGATCCCCTCCTGCGGTTCCTGCCTGAGATATTTTTATCGCGAGAAGGGTACAGCGCAATCCCTTCCCTCGCGACTTGGGCAGTCGATCAAGTTTACTAACAATGAGCTTTGCAGCGCATCGCTTCCAACGGAGACCAGGATTTAATTAGCGAGAACAAATTCACTCTGTCGAGACTCAAACACATGACCTGGCCCTTAGCAGGCTGCGAGGCTACCCACTAGACCACCGGGGCGACCGGTGGTGTACCGAGGCTGCTTTGCAGCGTGAATGCGATGTTGTGCCGCGCTGTGACTTACTCTTTGAGTTATTCATCCACAGACTTCCCAGACGTTTCTCCAGTACCCCGGAGATACCACCGCGAGTGCACTGAAACCGTTTTATCAACAACTGCACACTACCACGCATGGATAGCGGCAGGTGAATTGGCGCGCCCTCTCTTGCGAAGGCAAGGCGGCGGTGTCTCTCCCTGAAACATGGGCGTACCCCTTGTGAACTGACCAAAATAGCACATGGTGTAACTTCCAAGCTTGCTCTCACGGATAAAAGCTCACAGACTTTGTCACCTTAGGCGACCCTCTGGCTCTCTCCGCTCTCCCTTGTTCTGTGCGCAGTCTACCTTTGGGCCCTCCTCTGCCTAGGCGGAGATGGTGTCTGTGTGCTGTCTGATTTGCCTCGAGTCTCCTCCGGAAGGGGTTCCGTATATCAACCCCGAGTATCGCCCCTTCCGCGTTCATGACAGAAACACAATGCTGCGTCCTGCACATCAATCGCGCTGTAGCTAGTGCTGAGTGAGTACAAGATGGAGGCTGCGAAGTTCGCTGAGGGCATTCATAGAAGTAGAAGATTGGTATTTACATCGCCGTCATGCTGGTCTCGGGCCGTTCGGGTCGGACTTGTGACCTTGCTTGGGTCAGAGTCGTTGACCAAGGCGCTCGCTGGAGGTAAGCTTGCGTGCCCAGCAGCACAGCTAGCGGTGCTGCAATGATATCTCGTAGAAACTGGTGGAGCGATGGACTAGGTAGGCTCGTGACCCCCTCTGCTATCCGTCCGGGATGCGTGCTGTGGCTTCCTGCGGTCAGTACTCTAAAACAACGTGTGTGTCTGCAATGTTTACGTTGTCATGCAATGGTCCACTTTCCTCTCGCGGCGGTTGAACTCTCTGAAAGGTACAGCAGTGCCGAATAGGCGAACAGGCAGGTTTTGGACCACAGCCGTACGGGACACACCTTTATACGTGAATGGTGGGCTCAGATACTTGCAAGAGCAAGCGGCGCACTAGAAAATGAACTCAGTCGCCGGTTCTTCAGAAAATGTTAGGGTGCTTCGCCGTGCTGGGCACTTTCCCAAGGACCACGATGGGAATGACCGGGACTCGCTACTTAGATACACGGTGTTGGTTCGGAGGCCGCGGCGCTCGCGTCCAAGGAATTGCACTTGTCATCTTCATTTTTCCCCTGGCTCAGTTTCGAACAGATTATTTCCGCGAGTGTAGCAACGTGGACGGCATGTTTTCCCGCAAAGCTACAGCAATGAAGATACCCGCGAAACCACTTGAAGCCGCAGCACGGTCGTTGTCGGTTCCTTCGTGTTAGGACTGAACCTCACGCCGACGTTTGCTGTTGCCGTCTACTAACCTCTTGCCCTTGCTGCTGTGCACCTCGCCGAAGCAGCATCGGCACTTCATTCGATTGCTCGGGCCGATCGTACACGGCCCGTTCCTTGGGCAGCAGGAGCCGGGCGCCGCTTGGTAGGATTCACCCTCCCTGCCCCACTCCCGCTGTCTCGAGCACGATTAAGAAGACGCCCGCGAGGCGCGGGTGCGTTCCACGACGGTGGCGGCGGTAATAGGTCTGTTGAAAATGGTTTTGGTGATCGGGCAAGGGAGTGGCGCCTACGACAAGCGCCGCGAACAGCGGCCGTGTCGATGGAGTACGGGGACGGAGGAGTGAGGAACCGGGGCTTGATGGAGGCTGGGAAAGGACGGCGACTGCTACGGAGATGCGCCGAGTCTTCGAGCACCGTTCTGAAGACAGGCTCCCGTCGTCTGCAGAGCGGTGGCGGGCTGCCGAGGCACCGGCTACTACACGCGTCAGCAGAAGGAGGTGGCGGCAGCGGGGGCCAGGTGGCGGTGGAACCTAGGACGGCGGCAGCAACTCAAGCGCCCACCGGAGGGGGAGAGTTGCCGACGCCAGCACCGGCGGAGAGCGAATGGGAGTCCATCCTGCGGGAGAGGCTTGAGCGCAAGCTGCGCAAGCCCGGCCGGAGGAAACGCGCGCGGGCAGCGGCAACCGCCCGGACTTCTCCAAACCCCACCTTTTCCTCGCCTCCGACCCAGTGGCAGCAGCAGCAGCAGGATGTGGAATCGCACTTTCCGGCCAATAATGACAACCAGAAAAAACAATCCGAGGTTGGCGGGACAGCAGAGGCTGCAGCTGCGACACCTCGGTTTTCCGGGGCGACGACCTCGGAAGCGGGAGCCGGGACGGAACCGGAAACTGGGACGTACGGAAACGCGGAAACGGTGAAGAAGGAGAGCCTACGGGAGGAGGCCAACCAGGGCCGGAGGGGCGGCGCGAGGAGGGCAGTAAGAGGAAGGGTTAGCCCGCCGCCGCTGAAGCGGCGGCCGCCCGGGGGACCGTTCGGGGCGAGCAAGGCGGTGGCCTGGCACGCGCAGCAGGTCGTGCAGTCGGCGGTGACGCCTTTGCAGGTGAGATTTGCCTGTTGCACGTGCGAGAGGGTGGAGAAGTAACCACCCGTGTTATGAAAGTTTTGGGGGGGTGGGGGAATGGGGTGCCGTGATCGATACCGGCGAGCTGTCGCGCTGCAACGCACAAGTACACGGTTGGTGTATCGACGTGTGCGGGCGGATGTGTTCATGCAGGAATGTGACGGTGGGGCAGGGTAAGTGAGCAGCGGGGGATGGGTATTAACTCGCGATCCCTTCATGACGCGAGTGTTTCGATGGTGCTCCATCAGAATGATATGTACGGCGGTGGTTGTATCGCTGTCGCTGAATGGCCAGAAGCGAAAACGAAGTGGTGTAGTTGTCTTGACGGACAGTGTCTTGAGGCGGTTCTGTCCTTTCCTGTGACCCGGTCGAAGCTACGAAGTGCAGCTGCTCGACGCCTGGTCCTTTGAACCCTGCCGTTTAGAGTCAACTGCCAGGAGATGTGCCGTGTGGAAGTCGATGCCCTTTTCATGTCGCGTGTTTCGTCCGTAGTCCAAGAGTCCCGCCTACATCTACACCATGTTTCCCCGCTGCTGTCTTTCATCGGTGCATGAAAATTGTATTGTGTGTGTATGTGTATCCCACAAGGACCGTAAGCTGTCAACTGTAAGCCCGAGGGCTCTTTTCGCTGTTGCATTGCTCTGCTATGGACACCATCTTTCACGAAACGTTCGCTGTAGAACCAAAACATCCCCCTGTTTTCTTTCCCTTCGCACTGCGTCACCGATGGCCAGACCACCTTGCCGCCCCCCTCACACACGATCACATGTAGAAGAAGCAGTCACGTCCGCTGGCAGGACTCGACTCGGCGTGCGTGGAAGACTTGACTCGCCGCGGCCAGACTCGGCCACCTACCTCCTCTATTCTCACCTCTGTCTTACACGTTCCACGCCCTTGTTCCGTTTCACCAAAGGCCATGCGAGCTGTGCTGGACCGGCCTTTGCGGTCTAACTACGTCAGCGTGTCGACAGCGTTGAACCGGGTGGCCAAGCTCGCGGCGTCGAGGAGGCGAGGTGGCGGCTTGAAGGGGGAAGAGGAGCCCAAGTACCTCGGCATTTTGCTCAAGGTGTGGCACAAGCGAACTGAGTATCGGTGGGTCTTTAGTTCGAGGCACTTGGTCAGAGCCGGTGTTGGGGTTTGTGATTCCCGTGTTGATGTTGGTGTGACTATTTGTGGTGCTGATGGAGGTGGTGTCTGTTTCCGCAGTTTCTTTATGGTTCTGCTGATGCACCCAGCACGTTCTGCATGTCGAAGGATGAGTGGTTTGGCACGGAGAAGCCTGCGGGTGACTGGAGAGGTGAAGGAGTGGTCAGAAAAACAACCAGGTTGCTGCTCCACGCACGACTCAAACGAGCTGTCGGAAGGATGTTTACTGCTCAGCCGGCGGGGGTGAAGTATAGAAAATATTCGAAGGAAAACAGGCAGAAAAACTGGGTCAACAGCAGCTGCCCCGTGTACAAGCGCTTCAGTGCCTACCGCCCCCCACCCCCAACGCAGCAACCCTTGATCCCAACCCATCATCACCCTCTCCTTCTTGTTCAGGTTACGGAAGAGCTCGTGGATGCGGACCTGGTAAACGCGCGGAACCTAGCCCAGCTGCTGTGGTCCCTCGCCAAGCTGGGGAACCCCGAGGCCTCGTCGGGGGAAGTGCTGGAACACCCCGAAGAGGGGCTCGGTGAAGTGGGTCCCCTGAGGTTCGGCAGCGGCGCTCGCGAGAAGGGGGACACGCCTCCGGTTCCGTTAGGGCCCCCTTGCGAGGTGCGTGTGGGACGCTTGTTCGAGCGTGCTTCGTTGGTTTCCTCTCTGTGTTGGAGCATTTTTGTTTGGTGTCAAAGAAGTGGTGCTGAGTGGGGCGTGACGATCGGTTTCTGTGGTGACCTGACCTCAGCGGCCCTCAGCTCTTTTCTACGCTGGCGCGGGGCTCGTAGCCGCGTGTCGAGTTGCGTTGGCGGACGGCGTGGCTTCGCCCCTGCCTCTGTCTCTCTGTGTCTCTCGTTTTTCGAAGACGTGTGGTATGGTACATACTCTTGTGGTTGTATCGCCTCGGCGGTAGCCCGTCGCCGTTTGTTGTGTCTTAGTTTGGGTTTTGCCACCCCTTGGCTAAGCACTGGCTGTCCCACATACCTCACATCGGCACTGCTATGTTCTCTGTTCATGACCAGCAACATTCGAGCTTCGGACATCCGTTCAGTGTGCATAGCAGGGCTATTACAACGATGTGTCGCCCCGTAGCTGACTAGTAGTTCAGACACGAACCCTTTTGGTTTATCTATCGTGAACCCACCAACGTTGTTACCCTGACCCAAAAGCATCACCCCTTCGTCCTGGCACCGAAAACGTGAACGAAGCAGGGTCGCCTCCCGTCCCTCCTGGCCGGAAAGCTGTCCGAGAGGGCCATGGAGTGCAAGCCCAAAGAGCTGGCCATGGCGGCGTGGGGTCTGGCGGTGCTCCGGGAGGTGAGAGTGAACGGGGCCGGGGGGGCCGGGGAGGGCGGTGGGCACGCTCTGCGTGTGATCTGTGATGGCGCCGTTCTCAGGCATGAGGCGTTCGCGCAAGAGAGACAAACCGAACGGAAGCCGCCACTCGGTGCCGCCATACGGTCTAACCGTTTTGTGCTCGAGCGTCGTGGGCGGTGGGCCGACCCTTCTTGCCGAAGGCAAGGGTGTGCTGTCCCCCGCATGCTGCCGAACCTAGAACCTGCGCCCATCCGGGGGTTCTTGGGTATATCCGTCTGTGTAACCCCCGTGCCCCCGCCTTCCCCTTTACCCACGGCGCCCCTTCCCAATGGTCAGCGCGACGAGAACCTGCTGTCCGCCATTGCGGAGGAAGTGTCTCTCAGGACCGATGAGTTCAAGGGGAAGGAGTTGGGGAACATCGTTTGGGCATTCGCGGTGCTTGACTTCAGAGATAAGGTGACGGGAGGGCGCACCAGGAAGGGAGGGTCCGGAAGGGAAAAAGTGGCGTTGCGGTTGGAGGACGTGACTTTGGCTCCAATCGGCCCGCCCGACCTGTTGGGGTTCATAAAACCAGTTTGTTCCGCTCGTTTTCTCACCCAGCGGCACGGAATTTTTCACCCCCGGCACTGCCAAAGCCTAAACCAGACGACTCCATTTGAGCATCATGTGCCGTATGTTTCTCCGACGGAAGCTTAAGTTAACTCGTTGTTGTCGTTGGGAACCGATACTGTAGGAGATGCTGGCGGCAGTGGCCGAGGTCCTGTCGCCTGAGCCGCTGCAGTGGCGCGGCAGGGTCTCTTGGGAGTGGAAGCAGGGGAAGAAGAAGAAGAAGTCCGGACGGTGAGAAAGGGGTGGAAAAGCTTGAGGCATCGGCGATGGTTCGATAAACACACGGTATCAGTCAAGGTTGAGGTGGGCCGTCTGGGGCGCGGGGGGCAAGGCATCGTATCGTTCCCCCGCAGTCGCTCCGCTTGTCATTGCTGCTGCTGCTGCTGCTGTCATAGGTGGTGGGGGTGATTGTGTGGGTGGTGCTATCGTCGTCGTCGTTCAGTTCCTGCGTGTTCCTTGGATGTGGCTTGAGGGTCCAAACAGGGAGTGCTGTTCCCCGACGCCATGACAGACTAGGATCAAACCGCAGTTGTCTACCGTGCACAGCCGTGTGGTGCAAAGAATAGCGTTACTGTCCCTAGGAGGAAGAGACGAGGCCCCGTCGCGACGCAGTAGCGTGGAGCACGCTCACTTGGTAACGTCCCCCACCCTCGCCTTTTTCGATCGGACGTAAGCGGCATACACAAGTAGCGCGTTTCTGTTGTGCGGTCCGCATTAACCTACTTTTCATTGAGGTTGCTGTGCTTGCGGTATTTCTTCGAATCATCACCTCCTCTTGACAGGAGTGTTGGTGTGTGATTCATAAATAGTTGGGCGCGTCCATGCCCATCGTATTCTGGTGGAGAGCCAGACGTGATTGTTTTCGTTCTCTAGGTCGCTCTGAAGGTGCGGCAGCATGGAGCAACGATTTTTGTTTTTTTCGTGACGACCACTTCGTCATTCCCCACTCTCGCACCGGCTTTTGCTCACGCGCCGCTTCGCGCTCTGTTGCGCTGCTTCATTCCTTTCTAAGTTTTTTCCGACGTCATTTGGACAGCTTTCCGACTTTATTTTCATTTCGGGGGCTAGCGTCGTGTTCGTGCCAAGAAAACGGACACGTGCAGAGAGAGGACCGGCGGCATTGCACGGTGAAGATGGTAAACCTCCAAGTCCTTGAGCGGCCAAGCCCCCCAGCGCGAATAGCAGAGAGTCTGTGCGCGCTTCGGTATGACAATATTGTGGCATTGTTTCGTCCCCAACGACCGCCTTCGCCGACAAATACCGGTCGTGTGTAGGATTTGTCCACACTGGGAACAAGCGAGGTTGCTGGCAACCACTTGAATTGCCTCGTTGAACTGCTGTCAGGCACGAAAACCAGGTCATCAGCGCTCAACGACAGCCCTCCCTCCGACCCTAAACCTCTGGTTCGCGTCCACCTTAAATAGATAGTGCCCAGTGCTGTAACACCCTTCAAGTAAAAGTCACTGCTTCCACAGTGCATATCGCTGGTAACCCCCCTCAATGCAATCTGCGTCGCATTTTGTTTTGCCTCAAAACGGGACCCAGGGTTGGCAAGGGCCACGACAACTGGACGACGGGCTTCTGGAAGGCCACGATCGACCGCACCTGGGCCATGAGGCTCCCGGGTGGCGCGCCGCCGGCCCGGCCCGCAGCGATGGTCATGGCCGAGAAGGAGCGGCTGGCGAAGACCGCAAAGGGAGCCTCCTCCTCCTCCTCCTCCTCCTCCTCCTCCTCCTCCTCCT